ATAATTTTGAGCATTTTTTCAAACAAAAATTAGATCAAAAATCAGGGTCCCATTTTCATGTAAATGCCATATCATACAAAACAAAATATAACTACATGTATATGTACATGTAGGCAGGGCTAAATGCGAGAGATGTCAACTGTTTCTTTCTACGAGGTTTCTTTATAAAATGGTGTTCCCCAGTGTTTACCCCTATACAAATTTAAGTTCGTCGCGAACTCGTATTATGCTCGTGGTAAGCTTAATAAGATCGTTTTTTAGGCTTTAAGCTCGTAACACGCTTCCAGGACGCTAGTAACGATCTTACAAAATCTTCACGAGCTCGTGAACGAGTTCGTCACGAGCTCGTGGCGAACTCGCGGGTAAACTGGGCAGCTCGTGGCGAGCTCGTGGGTAAAAGGGGGAGCTCGTGGCGAGCTCGTGACGAGCTCGTTGGTAAAAGGGGGAGCTCGTGGCGAGTTTGTGGGTAAAAGGGGGAGCTCGTGGCGAGCTCGTGGGTAAAAGGGGGAGTTCGTGACGAGCTCGTTGGTAAAATGGGGAGCTCGTGGCGAGCTCGGGCATAAACTGGGGAGCTCGTGGCGAGCTCGTGGGTAAAAGGGGGAGCTCGTGGCGAGCTCGTGGGTAAAAGGGGGAGTTCATGGCGAGCTCGGGTTAAACTGGGGAGCTCGTGGCGAACTCGGGGGTAAACTCGGGAGCTCGTGGCGAACTCAGGGTTAAACTGGTAAACCCAGCCCTCTAGGGTGGACACCAAAGTTTCATAATTTTTTTAAAAATATCTATTTGATTCAAAATTGAACAATTCAATGAATTTTATATACACAATGTAGAAAGCCTTTCTTGTGAAAGATTAGAACGATTATAAATGAAGTTTTCTTAACAAAATTGTATTTTGTATTTTTCATATACGGTAACGCATGTTATGGGTGGACACCAAAGAATTTTTAGAATTTCAAACATGTGCTGTTTTTTTAACTATAACATTTTAAGCTTCATCTTTTTTTAATTGATTTGATCCATGGAGTTCTTCCAAGAAATAAACTGGGAATTGTCAAAGTTGTTCATATAATGTGCATTCATCATGCAGAAGCACCAAATGGAACGCGTGTTGCATGGTGGACACCATGCATAACAACTGTTACAAGATGTGAAATATGGTGATTATGAAAAAACTTTGCCACGCAACCTAAGGTTATTAACGACATGAGCATAAATAGATTCAGCACTTACTACCAGACAATAGTTGAACATCAGATAGTCATACAAATTTAGAGAATACTCATTACCAGGAACTAGGTTTTTTCATGTCATGTTTTGGTGTACGTCCTAAAAAGGGCAAAAAATGGGTTTCACCTTACATAAAAATTTAAACCCAGAGTTTTGAAACACAACGTTATTTAAGTTATCTCCACTACATATCTGCATTAAGACATGGACAAAACTATCACCATAGAATATACTCTTTTATTTTTATACTTGGATTTGAAATATCCATGGTGAAATCTCTCCAGTATCATAAAAATACACATATGCAATTACATTGAAAGTTCAGAAAATTTATGTTGAAATTGAAACAATAGCTTTTTCATGCTGAAGTAACCTGTCAAATTTCTTGTAAATTTAATTAAATTCTTTTGAAACTTTGAAACATTTATTTGCAGCATACCAGATTGGGAAGGGGGGGGGGGGTGCCATTTATTCTGACTGTATCATATATTTAACAACCTGAAATGTCACTATCAGGTATTACATAAGACCACACACCCAGTGCTTGATTCGAGGTCAACTCCCTGTTTCTATCTTGCTCTCTCCTTATGTACATAGGATCCCCCCTGCTTAGACACAAATCCCTATTCCTCTCTTCTCCCCTCTCTCACTTTCTTGTGTACTCTCTCTTGTGGAATTACCACTGGTAGCATTCCTGATAAGAATGAATTGATTTAGGCCCATTTTGTCAAGTCTTTTTCTATCTTGCTGTTGTGGAGAGCAGACATGGGTTTTGAATGGTATTGCAGCTCCTTTGTTTTAGGTAAGAGAAAAACTAATTTCTCACACCTTTTAACTAAATGTTCTATTGTGTATTTATAATAAGACTAGGCCAACAGTTAGGCCTACCTCTCTTATACATTTATGAAAGAGAAGTGTAGAGTAATGATTAATGATATAATGTATTCATTCTCTTTCTCGTGAGATATCTTTTCATATATTGGGAATTTTGTTTATCTATCTAGCACATAGTATATTCACTTCAATAAAGTAACATTAGATATCTATGTGATAATGTTATATTCATGTAAACATTTCTGTATCTTGAATGACAAACCCTACCTTTTAGGCAACATGAGAGCACAAGAATGCATTTGGTCTGAATACTGAAAACTAGTTTGCTAGCGGATATTAAGAAGGGATTGTTCTAGAGATCCTATAGTGTACATGTATCATTACTTGGTACCCTGGGTTGGTGAATACACTGACAAAAAGGGGGGATGCTACATACAGTAGTTATTGTATAAATACCGCTTTATAAGTTTGGATCTTTGTAATATTATGAGTGATTAGAATGATGGATAAATAATTACCAAAATGGATAATAATATTTCTTCAAAGACAGAGTATTATACAGTGTAATTACTCACATATTTAATTTCATTATACAGTGTAATTATATAATTTGGAAATCATTTATTCATTCATATTGTTGTGTGAGGTTGTGAACCATGCATACAGGTAACATGCATTATACAGGGTTTGTATTGACTCTAATAAAGAGCTACTTGTTTTAAGTTACATTTTATGTTATATCTTTTCTTTCTGTTCTTTGATATATTAGTGATTTAATTGATTGATATCCCAGAAGTAATGAGCTTTTAAATTGCCCTAAGAGTATCACTGTATTCTTCACCAGCTAGCCAACTGAATTGCCCTTGCATGGCCAGCCTGCAGATGTTACCAGGATATTGAAAGGCTGATAAGTTAGATAAATATATATATATGCTTGCCAATAGCTCAACAGGATCATCAAGTTCACCTCTATATGTAGACACAAATTTGTTCTCAATGCCAACCTGCTGTTAAGCACGCCAATATAAAGCGTGCAGCCATTTTTTCCACGAGATTGTCGACGAACTCGCCGACGAGCTCGTCGACGAACTCGTTGACGAACTCGCCGACGAACTCGTTGACGAACTCGCCGACGAACTCGTTGACGAACTCGCCAACGAGCTTATCGGCAAGTGACGAGCGTGTATATTTCGAGCACGCCAACGAGCTCGCCAACGAGCACGCCAACGAGTTCGTAGCTAATTTGCATATTTGGAACGAAACGAGCTCGCTGGCGAGTTCGTCTGCTTGCTCGTCAACGAACTCGTTGGCGAGCACGCTGACGAGCTCGCGTGTAAGCGTACTGAAATTTGTATAGGGGTACATGTACACCCCTTTCGCTATGCAATGATCCTTAACAGTTTACACGTTTCTTTACACAAGTTTCATGTCATTTTTCTCTCTCCTCTGAACAGACAATAGGCCTGTCCTCACTATCTCGAGATTGCCAAATATCCAGCTATTTGAACTATCCCGATCGCAAACTATCCAGCTAATTTGCGTCTTCATCAGATGAAGTAGCAATTAGAAGGATATTTGGTCAGGATTGTCATCCCAAGATATCTTGGGATAGTTTGCAAAATATCCAGCTATTTGTCCCGTGCGTCTTCACTAGACCGTCGATTCGCAATACGCGCTAACGCTGAGCAAAATATCTCAAGCTAATTTCTCAAGGTCGAGTTTCAAGTTTCGAGGTTGAATCTCTAGATAGTGAAGACGCGCCTTATGAGAAGGCAATGGAAATGAAATTCATTCCTCAATGAGGTGTGACCAGAAGATACATCATCCATGTCTTAGGCATCACTTAGCATCAATCAAATCATTAGAAGGGACGATGGACAATTATTTCTCTACCGTTCTTCTTATTCTCTCTCCATTTTAATGTTTGCTTGCCCGACCATGCTGGCCTGCATGTACATACATTCTATTCCCCATGCTCCCTCCCTTCCTCCCTCCCTCTTTCCCTCTTCATCTCTTACTGTACCCGCATTCAGACTAGATCCCTGCCTCTTTATTTGTTGAAATTATCCACGTATTTCTCTTTCACCTGTCATCTGTTTTCTCTCAATTCCAGTCCTCCTTTTTTTTTTCTAATTTATCTTGTTCTCTCCTCTGCTCTCTTTCTATCATTAATTGTTTTGTCTCTCTCATTTCTTTTTTCTTTCACTCTATTCATCTCTTTTTCAGCGTGTCCACACACAAAACAATTTATCCCGAAACTCTATAACGAAACGTCGTATAAAGAATCATAGTATAAATTTCAAAGTGTCCACACACAAGAAACGTCATATAAATAATCATTGTATAAATTCAAGGATGTCCATAAACAGAAGAAAGTAATCCTGAAACTCTACAGTCTGGTCTCTTTTCGCTCGAGGTCACGTTAAGCCCCGCCCAGTTCGTTACACTAGTTACTCTCCCTGTCCACACACAACATTTTCCGTGATTAGGCGTGATTAGGCGTGATTCTTTATTGAGTTTCAGTTCGGAACGATGCCCAAACCTGCATTTCGTTAGACTAGTTTCGTTATACGACGTATCGTTAGTGAGCGTCCACACACACAATTTCATCGTAAAACTATCGCGAAACGGTATCACTATCGCGAAACGGTATAGCTAATCACAGAAAATGTTGTGTGTGGACAGGGGGTTTATCTACCTGCTATATCGCTCTTTCTCACTCTCTTTCTCTCTGACTTTTTTCTTCCCTCCCTGTATCCCTTTTCCCTCTATTCCTTTCTCCTAATTTGTGTTCAATCTCATGTTGTCCTTTATCTATTTGGTATTGCTTCACATATTTCTCTTTCTATCTATTTCACCCTCACTCTCATTCTCTCTCACTTGAAATATTTGTATTTCTTCATCTCTATCTCCCTCTTCCTTGCTTTAATTTATAAATTTGTTATGTTGTAATATGGAATGTTGAGGTAATTATGCCATAATGTATTATAGTGTATTGGTGCATTAGTGTATAAGGAATTGTAGGTGGAGCAGTCTACAATGTAAGCTACCCCCCCTTCCTCATCAGACAATAGCCTTACTTTCCCGCCTTTTTGGGGGTACCTGTATTGCCCAATGTACTGATACCCTATAGGCATGATTGGGGATCCTATTGTAAGTTTTAGTGGATGAGTGATTTTCTTTTGTTCGGGGTCTGTGCACCCAGAGCTGCTATAGCAGGGACAGAGAGACATTGTAGATTGGAGAGAGAGGAGAGAAGCACTAATTTGTGCCTGCTAATGGAGATTGTTATTTACTTCTGGCAGATCACAATTCATGTAAGTTGATTTATACTGTTGGAACTGATGATTATTATATATATTTCATATTATTAATGGATGTCACATTTTATGAATTGCTGAAGATAAGATAGTGAAAGTTGAGGATTGTTGAACCATGTTGTATGTACACTGATATAATGACACTTTATGATAAATGTGATTAACTTATTTCATTTGCATTACATGTATCATGCTTTATAAAGTAGATTATTATGCTTGAATTTCTGATAATGATGAAATGATAATTACTCTGACAAATTAAATTAATTTTAAGTTTGTCTTTATATAGATTGAAACATGTTTCTGTTAAACAAAGTCAATTAAAAGAATGACTACCAAAGAGGATTTATATATATATATATTTGAATGTAATTACATTGTGTCATGCAGTTTTCACAAAGTCATTATTGTGAAGTAAGAATTGTTATTTTATTGTTGTTACCTTTAGGGCTGCATGTGGTGAAATCTCCTTATTTGATGAACTACACTTTCTACAATAAGGTGGAAGCTTTGTTTATGATCAGGGGTCGGACGACAGCATATAGCGTTAGTGTTGCTTCGTCGTTATAGTATTGGCCGGTGAGTGGAGTTTGGCTCTATTGTGTATAGATATATATATATGACCTAATATACATGCAATTGTAAACCGATTATTGCACGAAATGATGTAAAATGTACAATATTCTTCTGTCCTATATATGTTCTAATTAATTATGGCAACTATACTGCTACAGACAATTAAAACAGTTAAGCTACCTTTCATGATATTGCACATAATAAGAATTATTATTGAAAATTGAATAATGTATTAATTGATGACTCGTGTTGAGTTGGAAACTATTGCAATGTTTACACTTTAATTTGTTCTGTTTAATGGAAGAAAGCAAATGAAACCATGAATTGTTTGTTATTACATTTTGCTCCAGAGGCTATATGCTAATTATATTTCGTTCAAATTTTGTTCTTGTACAGGGGCTGTGTTTTCTTTGGTGAATAAATGCAAGACTAAAGTTTACGTTGGACTCCCTAGCTGTTGTCATTTCTGAATCTCAACAGTTATATTCATTTCTTCTTTCATCTCTCTCTCTCTCTCTCTCTCTCTCTCTCTGCCATGTTATCATTTTCATGTCCATTCCCCTAAACACTGTTATACATCATCTACATGTATTTATTATCAAACAAGATTACCCATAAGCCTGTGACATCTGCTTAGATCAATGCTACATGTCCATGTATGTGTATTGTTTTGTTTCATCAAATCACTTGGATGTGTTTCCTTTGTATATCAGAGCATGTTATTGATTGCTATACATATATATTTTCATTGATTGCCACACGTTGAAAGCAGCCATCATCTGTTGTAGTATTTCATGATATATACAGTGTCAAACGTTCACCATCAACTGTGTATGGAGCCTACTCTTTTGCTTCAAGCCTTTACCAGAATTGCAAAGGAAAAAATTATAATTTGAAGGGAGAAATTTTAATTTTTCACTTTTACTTTTCTCTTCAAAGCTCATTTTCAGCTGTTGGTTGTACACACTCATTGTCTCTTTTACACTTTCACTGCCGTTGGTGATTTGACCCTTCCAAAATTTGATGTTGCATGCAATCTCAACGGTTTTTTATCTTAAAGTTTTAGCACAGGTCCATTGATTTTAAAGTAACAATGTTGTACCCAATTTTCAAAATTAATCTGAACAATAAAAAAAAAAAGCACTGTGATTGAAAATGTCCACCCCCTAAAATATAAAAATATTTAAATTAAAAAATCAAAAAATAAGAATTAAAAAAAAAAATATTTAAAAAAAGAGTAACAAATGTACCCTTAATTGTTTTCAAATGTTACAGCCAAAATGCACCAGAAGGTGTGATTCCATGTCTTTTAAAGAGGCATGTTCCCCGTATTCCAGAGGGCGTTCAAAATACGTACCCGCTGGCGGACGGTGCTAGCTGCCTATTGACACCAACAGAATACGGCTCTTACGCAGATGGCATGTTCCGAATGCCCGGACAATACCGATTATCGCATACATGTGCCGAAGTAATGCCAATCGCAGTTCGGCTCTAAGATTCGGCTGCTGTTTCCGCCCACTTTCGTGACGTCGCGATCGTCAGCGATCAGCTGGCTTGGCGAAGGCAGGCCAGGCCGCGCGTACTTTGATTGACAGCTGTATGCAAATTAGAAGTCGATCTTCGGAACCAAGATGGCGATGACCAGAGCAGCGCAACTACACTGCGGGGACGATGCTCCTTTAAGAGTTTGAGCTCCTCCCTTCTCACAGAATAATACATCCCCCCACCCCCCCCCCCCAGCCCTAAGTCTACATTTAAAGAGATAACGAGATATGATAAAATGACCTGTAGCAAGCTTGCAATAATTCTAAACAAAGTTACATACAGTACAATGTAGAATTCACCATTCTAAGCTGGAACATGAGCTATGTACACGTCATGCAAACATTTCAGGGATTTTCCCAGGCTGCTATGCATGGTGCAATGACCAATTTACTCCAAAAAACATCCTCTTCAAACCTACAATGTGAAGCAAATACCACAGTTGATATTATTACTTCCTTATCAACTTTACCCCAAATATTACCAGCTGCGGCAAATCTAACAGACAATGTGGAATAAAGATAATGCCCTAGGGCCCATGCAGGCATAAAGCATATCAAAATCAATACATGAGTTTTTGTTTTTCCTACATGTAAGGTTTTGATACAGTATACATGACATGTACAGTTAACGACTTAATTATTCATACCCCTTGTAAATTTGCTGTGTTTTTGTGTTTTTTTTGGAACTCAAAGAGTGGAACGTGGACTGCTTGAATTAGAGCCTTTGTTGAATACTTTCTGATGTAAGCGTTGATGTGTCACATTCTCAAGAAAAATAAATCAAGACAAATCAATTTTTCACAAACATGTACTTCAAAAATTACAAAACTTGGTAAGGGTATGAGCAATTTAATTGTTGACTGTATGTGCGTGTAAATAACATGTTTTTACTGCTTTGTAAAAAGAATTTTCATACTTTGTATCCTGTTTATGGGGCACTTCCTCGAAAGAAAGATAAGCAAATAACAGTGAACCAATTCCATATCGCTATCAATATCTCTGTCACGATATACACATACATGTACCCTGTACTTTGAAACTGTATGTTTTGTAATATATCCTGTTACTATGGGTAAAGGTAGATTCCCTTTGTGTGCATCCTAGCTGGCTGGCATGGCAGGGATAGATCCATCAATCATACATGTACCTTCGCTTTCCTGAAAATGAAACAGGAAAATGATCGTCTAGCTCCTCTGTACCTACGCACATGCCTTCTATCTATCTACAGTGTACATGGGTTTCAGGTATTACTGTTCTTCCATGAAACCTGGTAGACTGAAGCAAACCAAGTGAAAATGTACAAAATTGATCAAGATCTGCATATTAACTTAAAGGTATAGACCAGTTCTGGTCATGCGATTGCATTGTGAAAGAAACGTTGTAGAATCAATCAGAAAATGTTGATCATCTAGCATATAAGTATTGGTGTGTACTGGTTCTGGAATCATCAAAATGATAAGAAATTTGGCCCAGTCTTCGTAAAGTTACAAGCACTGTACACAGAAAGATGTATGTGGGACTACGCACACGTGCGCGACACATGCGTTTATCTCTCACAGTCTAATAGATAAACTAATTTACCAAATATATCAATTAGTAGGCGGTTTCCCAGCAAAAATGTTATCATCATTTATTAGTCAAAACATATTCTTTCACATGATTAGTAATAAAGTGCTTCCATTTCATTTTTTGAAATTGGGGTGTTTCCAATACTGGTCTTTACCTCTAAAAATAGGAAGGAAAAAAAAATGGATTTTTGAAGTTGTCATCAGTGAAACACAAATTGGCAACCCTGTGACTTATCTTGCGAACTCCTCTCCAATTCGCTCTGTACAGAAAATGTCATAAACTTCCATTTTTTATAGTTACTGATGACGGAATAGATTTGTTTCAAACAGGGATTGTATAAAAACATATTTGCAATTTATTATATTGAGAGTGAATGTATATGATTGGAAATTTTCTTACAGAAAAATAAGATTTTTTTTTTTAAAGTCTATTTAGTACAAGGCAAATGAGAGGAGGCCTTGCAAGATATGCCACTGCATGAGTTGCCAATTTGTGTTTAATCTAAATCAGATTTTGCTCAAATTTTTGACAATTTGTTTCTCTCATTTTTCTGTTTCTATTGAGACCAACCTAATATCAGGGTGAACATCCCCTTTAAGGATAAATTCTTATCTTTCACAATCTAAATGGCATTTAATTCAAGTACAGTAGATACTGTATACATGTATGCCCGGTCACAGACAAAGTCACGGCAACGACAGAACTGACTGAACTAAAATGTTACATTATCAAGGGTATGTTTATGCTCAACTTTTTCTGGCCAGAATCAGGCATCTGTTACGCGTTTAGTTCAAAACACGGCTGCGTCCTTTCTCATTTTTGTAGAATCACCGAAAAACGGCGATCATGATCGCCGATCGGAAACTCACAAAAAGGTGCATTTACGATCGGCGATGCTGCGAAATCAGCGATTCTGGGAAGCATAAACGCACAATCACTTGTAAACACGTTTAAATGGGGTCAACGCACTGACCTCTAGTGGGTCTACGTAGCATGCGCAGTGCAGGTTTGCGAATCCAGCTGCAAGGCCACCCAGCCAGATTTGCCTGGAGGAGCCAGAGAAGTGAGCATAAACAGTACACCGTGGAACTGCGATTACGATGAGCGTTTATGATGAGCATTTCAGATCGCTCATTCTACCTTCAAAATCAAGCATAAACGCACTCCTAGACACTCAGACAGGCTCAGATTTAAGTTGAACATTGGTCGGTTCGTAGTTTATTTGATTGGGGGATTACGTGCGAATAACACATTTACTATCGCTCTGTTTGCTACCAAAAATATGCAAACAATTCAACCACATTCTGTTCATGTACAAGGAAGTGAGATGAACTATTGTTTGTCTATTGTGATGTTCATTGTTCTGTAATGTCACTATCGACCTTGAAGTGGAGCCGAATTAACATGTTTCTCACATGTGTTTCTTGTCAATAACAACCTGAGATATAGTAGCAAAATAAAGCCATTTACAATGAACACAGCAACAACAATGAAATCAATCAAAATGTTGTGTTAGTTTTCTTGTTTTTGAACTAAATGTAAATACCATTTAGAGTCCTTGAAAACCTATAAAAAAATAATTGGATTATGCGAATTTTTTTATTTTTTTATTACTCTTTTTTTCTGGGGTGGAGGGGGGGGGGGGGTGTTCTATGAAAGCTACCAAAGTACTCATTACTACTTAAATTTGGTATTTGCTATTAAAATGATCAACTATGAATGCATACTGTATGTTCAATGGTATACTGACAGCCTTTTCACACACAGCTAAAATTCTATAAACATGATTAGTTTAAAGGGCTTTAAAGTAATCACCTGTACATACGACATCATTCACATACAGAAATTTTGTTGCGATCGTTAATCGTTTTGTGATTAACTACTGCTCTTAAAATGCACAGTAGTGCCACTGCCCATTGAAGGTCATGTCATATCAAACAGAGCGCTCGCTCCATCCAGTTTAAACACGTTTAAACATGAAAAACCGTTCACACACAAAATGTCAAGCTCTCTAGATACGAACTTCGTATCTGCAGCCTGCTTTTAGGGGCGTATGAATCGCGACTTTGTATCTATCCCAACATCATATAAACGATGTTCACACAGGGAAAATTTTCTATAAACATGTTTTAAACTGTTGAGTTAAACACGTTTATATTAATCATCTCTAGATACAATGAATTTTAGCTGTGTGTGAAAAGGCTGTGAGTCTTTCTATCCATTAAAAAATGAGCAAACAGATTCTCAAAATTGACAAGAAAAATGATCATCGGAGCATTAAAGGGAAAGTCCACCCCCAAAATAAGTTTGTTTCGATAGAGGCAGA